TAATCAATGATTGTTAAGGGAAGAACAACTGTAGAGGTTGAAATCAAGAGAAATTTGGTTGAAAGAAGGGGATTAAAATATAATGTAATTTCATCAAATGATAAATCAAAGGAGAAGAATGAACTACTACGACCGAGGAGACTAAAGGTTTAAATGGGAAATCCCTTAACATAGAGGAAGAACCTAAAGCTTTCATAGAGTTAGTTGAACACATTGGGGGTGAAGAGGTACCCACAGCAATGATTGGCATCAACTCCTTGCCTTTACCACAAATATCATAAGAGCAAAAACGGATTTTCTTAACTCCACCAACTTTTGAGAAAGTTTGGGATGTTGTCAAGGACATGAAACCCCTCACTCATCACTTGGACCAGACGGATTTTTTCCATTTTTTATGAGTTAATCTTACAAGTGTTTACATCAGGCCAGTTTCCCAAGGAATCGAAATGCACCAACATATTTTATATCCAAAAACAAATGAATGCATAATCTGTAGGACAATTTAGACCTGTTGTTGCAATGTGTTGTACAAACTACAAAATCTTAGCTTTGTGCTTGGTGATAAAATTCCATAATATAATACCGAGTTTAGTATTAAAAATCAAGCAGCTTTTATTAAGGATCGACAAAGTATTGATAACATAAATACATAGTAATGGATCAAGAGCTCATTCACAAAATGAAGAGACACAAGAAAGGGGAAGGGTGGATTGCCATCAAGATAGATCTGTCAAATGCTCATGATTGATTAAGAGTTTCGTAATTGATACCCTAAGAGGAATGGAGTTTTCATCTTAGTTGTATGATTTCATAGCATAATGCATTTTCACTCCTACATTATTTGTAAAGCTGGAAGGACCACAATGATAAAATAAAAGCAATAGCTTAGGCTTTACTAGTGTACCCTTCCAACCTCTCCAAAACACCAAAAACCCTGAAAACCCAAAAGTCACCCCGAAAGCCCTCAAATCCACTATTAAACCTACTTGATACCTATCCGATGACCTCGGTCGACCCTCACTTACACCTTAACCATTAGATCAGACACTAATGCCAGGCCTAGGACCTCCGAAAACACCTATCTGTAAAATTTCAACTCAAGATTCCCCCATTTACCCTCTCATCAAACGAAAATTCCATCTCGACTTCTTTCATTAGCCTAAACATTAAGAACCCAGATTACCTTGATTTTTACACACCTGGACCAATCAAGCCACACCACTAGATTCCAGACACACCAAAACACCTGCCCACGAATTTTCAACCCCAGATTTCCCCATTTACCCCTCCATCAAACCAAGATTCCGCTCTAAAACATCCCATTGACCCAAAGTCCTACGATCTTGACTTTCTGGGACCGATCAGACCTCATCATCAGATCCCAGACACCCCCAAATACCCACCTATAAAATTTCAGTCCCAAATACCTCCGTTTACCCTTGATCACACAAAGATTCTATTTTAAGGCTCCAAATTGACCGGATTCCAAATCTGCCTGACCCGGGCCAAATTGGCTTAATATAACCTTACAAATCACCTCAGATTACCCAAAAATCCTACCCCATGAAACTTCACCCAAAAGTGCCTTTGTTTGTCCCTTAATCGCACAAAGATTCTATTTCGAAGCCCTAAATTAACCAAATCAAACCCTTTTTAGATCTGCCCAATCCGGGCCTACTCGGGCCCATCTAACCCTGCCAATCAACCCATAATTTCCAAAAACCCCACCCCATGAAATTTCATTCAAAAACTACCCTCGTGTGCCTCTTCATCCAAAATGATTTTGTTTCGGCCAATCACACTAGCCCTCACGCATCAAAACCCTTATCAACCATCAGACCCATCTCAACCTTCCATTTTCTGACCCAAAAATCCTCACCATTGAACCAAAATCCTGGCCTAACCCCTTTAGACCCAGTTTGACCCAAGTTTTTCAAAATTACAAAAATATTCCTAAATTCCCAAAAATTATGAAAATGCCCCTATGCCCTAATATTAACCAAACCTTTGTTCTTCATTTGAAGGGGCACTGTTCACTCTCTTCCTTTCATCTACTATTCCTCTTCTCTCCCTTGTTCGAACCCAACCCAAAAGAGCGACGGAACCAGCGGCAAAAAACGGCGTCAACCTCACCTCCGACCTTCCTCTCTTCTCTCCTCTTCTCCTCTTCTTCTTCTTCTTCTCCTCCTTCATCTTCTTCTCGGATCCGCCAAAATTAGCAAATCCACTATTGAAACTGTCTCCCCCATTCGGACGAAAAAGAGGAGCGGCGACCCAACCAACAGCGACACCCCTTTCATTTCTGGCCTCTCTCTCTCTCTCTCTCTCTCCCCCCCCCTTTTCTCATTTATCTCCACTATGAAAATCCCCCAAAAAAAGCTACTGCTCATCTTCTTCTTTCTTGCGAGATACCAAAAAGGCGTCAGATCTAAACTCGGCAACCCCCATTCTCCCCTATCTTATTTTTCTCTCTTTCCATCTCTTTTGGCCACTCCCACAATTCCCCTCTCTTGCCCATAGAACCAGAACCTAGTCAACTGTCCATCTTCTTCTTCACTGAACCAGAAGCAGCGACTATCTCCTACCGCGACAGAGCAGTGTCGAGACCCATCATCTTTTTTCTCATTGATCACCAGTGGTGAAGTCTCTTCTCCATCGATCTCGGCACACATCCATTGTCTGAACTTAAATCTGAAGCTCCCCTGCATCTGTCGAGTACAGGGCTGAAATTCCAACCCAACGCTACCTATTGTTGGATTTTTCCTTTGGAGCAGCATTTGCCCAAAAGCAGAGTGATCAAAACTGAAGCACATTGAGCCTAAGCAATTGCAGTCGGTGTAGAAGGATCAAAACTGAAGCACATTGAGCCTAAGCAATTGCAGTCGGTGTAGAAGGATCAAAACTGAAGCACATTGAGTCTAAGCAATTGCAGTCGGTGTAGAAGGATCAGATCTCCGGTTCGTAGCATCCCCATTCGGTCAGGACACCATTCAAAAGCTCGAAGATGTAAACAGTAGACAACCCGATTCTAGTCCTCCTTGTTCGGTCGATTAACCTTAACGTCAGACACCATCAGTTGCATTCGCTAGTCATCATCGTCGATCAAGAGAGGAGGCAACCAAATTCAGTTGGATCTTCCGCTTGTAGTATCAAATCTCAACCTCAGACCATAAGTTGCATTCGCTAGTCGCCATCGTCGATCAAGAGAGGGGGCAACCAAATTCTGTTATCTCGGTTCGGTTTTGGATTTCACACCGAACCGAATTATCGGTTTATCCATCTTTCCAACTTGAAACCGGTCGGTGGTAAAGAAAAACCGGCTAAATCGGGTTGGGTTGGCCGGGTTGGTTGGTTTGAATTTATTTGTGAACAGCCTTATCTAAAACCATAGATACATAAATCAAAATCCAATGACACCCAAATCTAATACCGTTTACCCTTTCATCTTAAGACCCAAAGCCATAACTGATTTTTGTCGTTTGATCGGAATCATTTTGATCATGAACCATATTTCACATCAAATCATAAATTCAAAAACATAGGTATATAGAACCCAAAAATCCAAATCCTATGACACTTAGATCACCGAAATCCAATACCGTTTCCCCCCTTCATCTTAACACCCGAAAGTAGAACCAATTCCAATCATCCGATTGGAGTAATTTTGATCATAAACCTCACCACACATCCATTAAAAAATCCAACACCATAGGTACGTAGAGCCCAAAAATCCAAACCCAATGACACCAAGATTACTCAAACCCGATACTATTTACCCCTTCATCTCAATACCCGAAGCCATAACCGATTCTAATCATCCAGTTGAGATCATTTTTTATTCTAAACCATATGCTAAATGAAATAAAAAAATCCAACCTTTTAGATGGAAAGAACTTGAAATTCCAAGTTCAACAATACCAAGATTGTCTAATTTTGACATTATTAACCCATCCATCATGAAATAAAGAAATACATTAGAAGGGTATTTTTGACATTACGCAATACTTAACTGACAGATACTAACGGATAAACCGAAGTGTATATTTTTTAGAGTTCAAGATACTCACGTGTTGCAATTGAAAATTCAGGGGCATTCCTTGGTGTTGATTTTACTCAAGACCAAGTGTATATTTTTTACATTATGCAATAATTTTACTCAATACTTAACTCACAGAATACATGAGAATGGGTATTTTTGACATTATGTAATAATTAATCGACGCAATACTAACGGATAGACCCAAGTGTATATTTTTGAGAGTTAAGATACTCAAGTGTTGCAATTAAAATTTCAAAATGCAGGATACCTATATGTAATTTACCCTATAGTTTATTACGAGTTATTACTTATGATAGATTTTCTCTGAAAGGCAAACAACAAAGAGTATAAAATGAATAAAAATTTCAAAAAATATAAAACATGTTATTAAGGTTTTAGTCTTTCTGATTAGGATTAAGTGAAGTGATTATCTTAAAAGAAATACATAATAATATGTTATGTGGGCAATATAACTATCATGCATCTAACTAGACAAATGTGTGATATATTATATATAACTTATATTTATATATGACATGTAATATAGAATCGAACCTTCGGATTGACAATCCTAATCCAACCCGAAATGAAGTTAGGTTCATGAATTTCAACCCTAACCTTACCCCTAACCCGAGCATATGGTTGGGTTCGGGCCAACCTGACACAAGTTGCAGCCTTGATATTATGAATTTATAAATATGAATGATTCAATCTCTCCTTCTTAGATTGTGTTTGGTTTGAATGAAAAAGTAGAGAAAGGAAAGAAAAGGCAATGAATCTTTTACAAACATTGTATGGGTTTTCTTACCTTTCCTTTCCTTTCCCCATCTTTTCCCTCAAACCAAACATAGCCTTACATCCAAAACTCACCAGCTGTTCCGGGAAACTTTCTTTGGTGATGGGCAGTGCTACCAGGCGGTTTACGTTACTGCCTTGCAAGAACCGGCAGTAGTCGGTAAACAGTCAGCAGATTCAACACTCTTCTTCCTTTTCCGCGTCGTGAAAGTTGAAACCCCTTTTCAGTTTTCAGCCTCATCGTGCTGATATTCTGATGTCAAGCCCTCGGGACGGCTTAGACATCGTGATTTCTCTAATCCTCTCGAGTTTCAACAGAACTGCTTGATAGAGATAAACTCGTTTCATTTCTTTGCTTCTGGTAATTTTCCTTTATTTTTGTTTTTTATTGAAATTTCTATCTGTTGAACCTGCTAGAGCTGTCTGATCTCCTTTTCGTGTACGAGCTCGTCCTCATTCGGTAGAATATAAGTTCGACTTGGACCTTACGAGCTTAGAGGTTTATGGTCTTGCTTCAGAACTCGAACCTCATCTTGTTTGCACCTTCTGCTTTGTTTCGGTGAATGTATACGCCAAAGCTTTGAATACATCAACCGTTCTGTTACTTGTGGTGGATTTACTTTTGTTTTGCGCTCACAGGTGTTATGTTATCTTCCGCCCCAACCATTTTTTTGATGAATTTCCTCTTACCATTTTCTATCACAACAGGCTTCAGATCTATATTTTGTTTTTTTTATTTGTTTTGAAGTTTTTCTTCTGATTTATCTTATCAACGGAGTGTGCAAAATTGCTTCTTTTTGTTCATTTGAAAGCTTAATTTCTTAAGGTGTCTATTAAGGCTTTACTGGTAAAATCATTGTTTAGCTCCCATCTCCTTCAGCTTGGTTTGCTCATTCTATACCTCTCTTAATACGGGTTTATATGTTTTGCTTTCATTTAGAAAATGCCTCAAGTAGAAGAGCTTTGGGAACGGTTGGTGGACGCAGCACTAAGGAGGGGTCGCCTTGGGGCTGATGCATTTGGGCAGCCGGTTAGCGGAATTGCCGGCAATGTTCCATCTTCTCTTGAGAACAGCAGGAATATAGATGCAATATTAAGAGCTGCAGATGAAATTCAAGATGAAGATCCCAATATCTCTAGAATCCGTGAGTTCATAATGATCCTCTTCCCAAGCCGCGCCCCCCCCCCCCCMAAAAAAAAAAAAGAAGAAAAAAGAAAAAAGAAAGAAAGAAGAAAAAAGGAGAAAGAGTGAACTATTTTCTGGTACTATGTTTAGTGCATGCATTTATGTTTGTTACTTGTAGTTTTTCCTTGGGAAGTTGGGCTACACATTCGACTTAGTTTATTCAGGTCCAAAGAATGCATGGTCATCGGCAGGTTCAAGTTGCTTTTACCATGCAATTCTGTAGAAATGCAATCAAAGTTACAATTTGTATTACCACTTCTTCCCTACCATTGTGCTATCGACAATGAGTGCCATTGTGACATAAAGGTGACCAGATAATACTCAAAAAGTATAATATGGCACCGTTTTGCCAAAGTCAATCAAATGAATTAGACCTAGCTTCTTTTAGGAACTGAAGATTTTTGAAGATTTATTTGATGTCCTTGTAGTATTAAATTCTTTATTCATCTTCTTTGGCTTGCACACAGCATCATGTCAAAGAGACTAGCTAATGGAAGTAGGGAACATTGCATCAGAGAAATCATGGACTATTTACAATATCTAGTCAAAACTTGGAACCTATTTGGTGTTGTTTCTATTTTATTGAAAAAACCATGAGGAGATAGGCATTAGTAAGTGAGAGGGATTATTGAAAAAACCATGGGATTATTTTTATTTTTATTTGTATTTCCAAATATAAGAAACAAAATAATAGGAGATTAGTAAGTGAGAGAGGGTCTCATTAGAAGCCTTACATAGTACACACACATGAGGAGATAAGCATTTGTTTGGCCTTCTTTTCTGTAGCACATCACAGGTTTTTACCTTCCCAAGGAACACTTCCCAACAAGGGATTGGTTTGCAGCAAATTTCTCTCATAGGGAAGTTCACCCCCAAATTTCCAGAATGGGTAAGCATGTTAAGAAATGAGGCACAAAAAAACAAGCCATTAGGGCTGGATGCCAGATTCTATTATCAGAGGCATTTTGATCCAAGAAAACATTCTCCAAATTTGAATGTAGGAGGAGGGAATCAAAATTTATCATCTCTCAAACCCTTTTGAAGCCAAGGTCCCAATTTAACTCAAGTTCTGAAAAACACTAAACCTGACAATAGGTTCAACCTTAAGGTTTGACAAGGAGTAGGGTTTAGGAAACTGCGATTTAAGGGTTTGGTCCCCAAGCCAAAGGTCTTCCTAGAATGAAACCTTGTTTCCACACCCATCATCAAGACAAATGAATTTAAGAAAGGTAGGCAATACCTCAAAAATTGCTTTCCAAGGGTAGTTTGAAGTTGCATCAGAAGCTAGTTTTGCATCCCAACCATTGTCTACTACACCATGAATGCTTCCAATGACGTTATGCCACAATCTATCTTCCTCTCTTGGCTCATAAGAAGTCCGTTATTATTTTTTTCTATCTGTCTTGCTATTTTTGCTGGGATCCTAAAAGTGGACAGGAAGTAAGTCGGAAAATTTGCTAATGTGGATTTAACGGAAGTGATTCTTCCCCCCATGGAGATGTGATTCCTCTTTCACATGACCAACTTTTTGGTAAATCTCTCTACAATTTGTTTCCAGAAACTCTCCACCTAGTATTTCATCCAAGGTTTGTATGTCAACTTCTTCCATGTTAATTCCTGCCACAAAACTCTTTCCTCAATTGACTTTTAGCTTTGAGATCCATTGGAAAGTGTTAACTAAGGTCTTCAAGTCCCTCAAACTGTTAAACCACTATTGTTGTTGTCACACAACAAGTAATAGGTAGCCTAAGTGCAAGGTTTAAAATGTCAATGTCGATGGAAATGTCGCTTACCAGAATATAGGACATATGTCGGAAATGTCGAGGGGAAATATTGTAAAAATTAGAGACATTGTGGAAATATTATGAAATATGTGGAAATATGCAAAGATATTTTGTGAAATGATAAAAGAAGCATTAATACATATTTCTAGACTATTATCTTATTCCCAACCATTATATAAAGCTAAGAAACTAAGATCAATA